TGTCATTTGGAGCTCGTGGGCGTGGATCGAACTGGGTCGCCCAGAGGAACCTTGGGACGGGTCGAGGGCGCTGTGGGCCATGTAGTAGCGGCCGTGCTGCTTCCCTGGTCCCAACCTCTGCAGGAGGTCTGTGTCCAGGGGCTCGGCGGTGGGGTCGAACGTCTCCCCGTAGCGCATGGATCCCCTCATACGGCATCTTAAGTGCACGAAGGAGCTTCTGTGTAGCATAGGTGTTCGTCGGCAGGACATGATCTGCCGGAAGCAGTCCCCCAACAATGCTCAACACGAGATCGAAGCCGTCTCGACTAATGCCCAGCTGCGACTTCAACCCTATCAGGCGTGAGACGGCATCCAGTTGTGTAAGCTTTGTCTTCTCATGAAGGGGCTTCTGTGCCGACTCCATCATGTCGTAGAAGGCCTTCGCGGTTTGCTCCGGATCTTCCTCCACATCCATTCCTTCGCCAAACCGTGCTTCGTGGAAGTCTGCCATCATGTCTGCCATCCCGGCATCGCCATCATACTCCTCGAGGACGGGTCGCACCACCTCGTCCCTAATAGGATGGTATTCACCATGGTGGCGCCAACGGGTATAGTTTGGAACGAAACCGTGCTTGAACAGAGTGTGTATCCAGAGAACAACGGGGAGGTCCTGCCGAAACTCCGACTCGGATGGGAGCAGAACATGGGAGCTAACCTCGTCTGCGCATCCTCGGGCTGTCCAAATAACGTGGACAATCCGAAACGGATACGGTTATACATATGCGAAGAACGCATACTTCCAACCGTATCCGTTTCGGACGGGAGACGCCTAACTGGGTAACGCGACCTATGACTACATGTGGCGGAAAGAGGGGTCATACCGCAGGTGCCGGTGAAGAAAGGCTAGCGGGGCAGTGCCGAGTCGTGCTCTTCCGGCTAGCCTCCAATGGGAGCCCTCCTGAAAAAGAAAAACAATTAGTGAGAACGAAAATTTTGGCAAGACCTCCATGTGACGGGAAGGTTACCAAAACGCAGAAGAAAAGACGCACGATGGCCGACAAACACATATACATGTCACGCACGATGGCCGACAACCACAAATGTATTTCCAATCCATGCAGAAGAATATAAGCAGGTATTAACAAAGTAAACTACTACTACTAGTAGTACTACTACCTCGTCGTCACGACGGCCACCGGGCGCGGTGGAGCAGAGGAGCGCGAGGACGGCGAGGGGGGACGGGCGCAGGCGAGGCGAGGACGGCGGCGGCGAGGTGAGGACGACGAGGCGAGGACGGCGCTGGCGAGGACGGCGCGACGCAGGTCGGGACGGCGAACGGTGGCGGACGGCGGACGGCAGTGACGGAGCGGGCACGCCGGATCGGGCGGGAAAGCGACGGCGCCGGGCGGGGTCAGGCGAGGGAGCGGCCTTGGCTGTGGCTGGGGCCGACGCCGGAGTCGACGCTGGCGCGGCCGCCGGCCTGGGGGTCGGATCGGGCAAGGGGCCGGTGAGGGGTCTGGGCGGGCGGCCGGGCCGGAGGGGCCCACAAGGGGCAGTGGGGCAAGGGGGGGGGGACGACGCCGTGGGGAGGGACCAACATGGGGGGCCCCGGGGAGGGCAGGGCCACATGGGAGGGCCAGATCGCCGGGGAGGGACCACATGGGGGCCTGGGCGGGGGAGGCACACATGGGAGGGCGCGCTGCCGGGAGGGCCACGCCCATGGGAGGGCGCCATGCACGGGAGGAGGAGGAGGGATCACGGCCATGGAGAGGGAGAGGGAGGGGGGGAGGGGGGGGGGGGGGGGATCTGGCCGGCCGGGTGACGGCGTCGACGGCGGGGGCGGCCTGGGTGGCGGCGGCAAGGGATTTTGGGAGGGAGGGCGGCCGAGCGGATAAGAGGCGACGTTTTTTTTTTTTTTTTTTCCCTTTGCCGATCTTGCCAGCATGTGACGCAATCAGCAAAGGTCTATTATTTTTTTTCAAAAATTATTTTTTAATTTTTTAAAATACTTTGCCGATCGCTTCCGCTCCCCGGCAATCGGCAAAGGTTATTTTTGATTTTTCTCAGAAATTCTTTTTTTGATCGCCATCCTCCTGGCGTTGGCAAGTTCTCTTTGCCAATCGCCATTGATGGCGCTCGGCAGATTTTTTTTTTTTGATTTTCGATCCTAGTTTTTTGTGTTGCCTTTTTTTTGGTAAGTACATGATATGTCAAGTTTGGGGTCATTTTGATTTATTTTGCTATATTCCATTGAATTTTTCTCATTTCTTTACCACAGTTGAAGCCTCAGGTACATGAAATAATGGAATCCGTGATTGAAAATGATATTCATTGATGTTTGGAGTATGTTTCGACGTGTCTTGCTTCGATTTTATGAAATTTAAAAAGTTTTCATTCGCTTCGATTTTATAAAATTTAAAACCTTTTTCACCGGCTTGTAGCGTGTTCACACACAACATTTCGAATTTCACGCGAAAATCGACACGGCCTCAACATGCTCCAAACATCATGAATATCATTTTCAATCGCCGATTCCATTATTTCATGTACCGCATCAAATCGAGTCTGTGGTAAAAATCAAAGAAAGAAAAAAAATCTACTAATATATAGCAAAATAAATCAAATGATCCCAAACTTGGAATATATCATGTATGGATCAGATCAAGGCAACACAAAAAACTGGATCGAAAATCAAAAATAAAATTTTTTGCCGAACGCCTGTGGAGGATGGCAGCTATAAAGCTCGCGCTTTTGCCGATCGGCCGACGGAGTGGCAAATCGGCAAAGGTGACGGTGTGGATGGCGTCAACCATGGGCTCGCTTTTGCCGATCGCAATTCTTTGCCAAGCGCTGGCAATCGGCAAAGCCGAACGATCGGCAAAACTCGCTTGCCGATCGCAGAAATTCCAGTTGGCAAGGGACCTCTTTGCCGAGTGTCGAAAAAAAACAGTTGGCAAAGAAAATTGCAGTCGGCAAAGAGCCAGTTTCCTGTAGTGCTAGCATGCTTAAATTCTTTGCTAGTTTCCTTCGATGCCGTAATCACCAATTACATTATCAATTCATATGGATGCTGACGGAACTCATGTGCATGCATATGCAACCCTGTACGCACATGGACATGATCCGTACAGTACAACATGCTAATATCATATACACTCCTTGCCGTTTCTGAATCCCAATCCATCAATTCCACAAATATCCAGAGCAATCCATATCGCACTATTTGTTGTGTCTTTCCTAGTTCCCTTATGATTTTATAAAAAAAATGTCTAATTTGCATTTCTTTTTCTTAAAATCAAAAGCTTACATCTTTTAATCGCAGGTCGGCTTTAGGTTGTTTTTGCGCTCACACGATCATAGCGGCGAGACCTAGATATTAGTGACACTTATAGTTTGTTTTTGTAATATTTGATGTATTGTTCTAGGTAACTCGTGATGCTTGGTTCCCATGATTGCTATCTCTCGAAGAAAAGATGTCCGAGGTTGATCGAAAAGAAACATTCTACTGTCTGAACAACTTTTTGGAGGCATGCAAGTGTCCTTGACCATCTTGCACCTACTTTATTTTATTTTGAGTTAGTATATTTAGACCATTAGTCATAATCTTCAATCCAATGATAGGGTTTACTAGACTTTGTGTTGTCATCCTTGAAACCTAGGTTGGATGGGTAGATTCATGCTTAGCCTTGCAGTCTTGGGTTGGGCTAGGCTAAATATTAATCTTGATTAATTATAAATGCAACCTTGGGTTGATAATGTTTTTAGCAACATGGAGAATAGGAATCCGGCAAGATGGATTGTTTGGCTGAGGATGGTTTGTGAAATGACATAGTGGATTCCATGTGTATGATGGTGGTTGAATGTTGGGTTTGTGCTCGTTCCTGCCCGGATTCTAAGGACTAGTTCTCGAAGCCTATAACCCGGCTTAACAGCGCAACCATGAGACCTACATGGGCTATGGGCCTGGCCAACTAATTAGTTTCCTCCAAGTTTTGTTGGCGTCGGGGTGGTTTGTGTGGCATAAGAGGGGTCCCCTGGGGTCGCTGACTTATGTACGGGGGAGAAACCTTAGTGAAGGTGTCAAACAAGCTTGGAGGAGCTTTGTAAAGGCTTCGTAGTGAAACCCTGCCGGCCTACCTTGGAAGTGGGTCAAGAGGCTGATCACCTCGGGCAATTGGGAATCACGACTCGTGGTGAAAGTGTGCAACATCTGCAGAGTGTAAAACTGATATATCAGCCGTGCTCACGGTCAAGAGCAGCTTGGACTTCTTTGAGATTAGTGGATCTTGGTGGTTGGCTGGCTGGCTTCCCTTGGTAAGGGAATGGATGTTTCAGATGGAGCTTGGATGGTATCCAAGTGTGGTGGTTGGTTTGGTTCTCTAAGGAGACGATGGTTTCACCTAGTAAATAGGTGCTAGGGATATAAGGCAATAGGATGAGTCGCTTAAGTGCTGGTGTCAAACCCCATAAGCCTTTCCTTGTTATAAGCCTCATCTCATACTTTCCTATATTTGCGGAGTACATTTCGATGTACTCACCCTTCCTCTTTGTCCCCTGCTACCCCCACCCAGCTGTTCGGACTTCAAGATGGAGTTTCACATAGACAATGTTTGAGCTAGGCTGATGTACCCCCGGTCGGCTGCCTGTGGATGATGGAAGACCCTGTTCCGCTAAAGACATCTGTGTAATTTTTGTTCTAGACCCTTTGGTCATTTTTGTAAATAGTTATCGCTTTTGTAATAAACACTGCTATGTATCACTATAATTGTCGTCGCATATATGAATAAATAGATCCTAGCATACATGTGATATGCATTCGGTTTTGTTCCTAAAACCGGGTGTGACAGCCTTGGCTGGTGTTGAAGGCCGGGAAGGAGCCAAGGGTCCGGTCAAGCCTTCAAGCCTGCCTTGCTTGCCAGTGCCAAGTGCTAACTGAATGTCTTCTCATTTTATTCCCCAAATCCAAACTCCTATGCGTTCACATTGCCTTCTGTTGCGGTTTCGAGGCGTAGTTTAAAACCATGATTCCCGCTGTCCCTGCAGGATTCGTGACTTGTAGGAGTTATGCTACAAGAAGCAAACTGGTGAGGGCGATGCCTCCGGTCCTTGGTAGCTTCCGGCCTGCATCTCCTCACTACCCAAGTTTTCAAGACACAAACAGCAAAAAAACGAAATGTAAGCAGCTTTTCCCCCTTTTACCACCATGCTGAGCATGTGTTTAATATGTTTTGACTCTAGCATTGTTCCTTTTTTTTCCTCCAGGTTCCTTGATATCAGAGACAACAAACCCCGCAGATAGAAGCCAAGTAAGCCACTCACTTCTTATTCTGTAACGGAACCATCGCTACTTCATTATTAACGTACTTGATTACTATTTTTTTTTACTATCATACAATTTTGACCCTGGCCTTGCACTTTTCTCGGTGCTCTGAGGCCTGGGGTTTTGCTCGATGTTTTATGAAATCATTATCTCATTAGTCACTACTAATTCAGTTATGACATGCCCTAAAAAAATTCAGTTATGACACTAGTCATTTACGACAAAATATTGGACCCAGCTAAGAATCAATGGCCTTTGCACGGGCAGGTCAGCTGGGAAATGGGTTGCTCCATGAAATAAAATTTAGGACTGTTTGTGGCGATGTTCTAGCTAGCGAATTTGATCATCTTTCCCTGATGTACAAATTCCCAGAAGAACCTACTGAACATCTGGCTTTTCAGAAGAGATATTTATGAAATGATAGAAAATTAGCTGATGCCATCACCTATGAAAAATAAGTAAAGGGCGTACCCAGTGCAGAGAGCTCCCGATCTGTGCGAGGTCTGGGGAAGGGTGTCAGTGGCAAGCCTTACCGTCGCCTGTGCAATGCGAGGAGACCGCGACTCGAACCCGGGACCTTCCGGTCATAGGCGGTAAGACTGTACCACTTGCAAGTTTTTTTTCATTTTTTGCATGAGCTGGTGCAAAATTATTGTTTTTAAGAAGAGGACATTGCTACCCCGTTTCTTTTTGGACCAGTGATTCAACTGGATCATTTGTAGCAATGCTTTGGACATGACTCCTTGCAACTTGTTCCTTTGTCATGTCTTTTTTGCTTAGGCCTGTTTTGGGCCAAGCAGTCTGAAAACAGAAGGGTTATACTGTAATTGGTTGATCTTCTCAACTTTGATCATTATTCATAGATGTTTATACTATTGGATAATTGTCATACTGATAAAAATTGATGTTACATTTGAAGGTCAATGGAAGAGGTATATGACGCTTTGGCTGAACACCTTCTTTCTGTCTTGAAGAATATTGAGCATCTTGATTCAAAGTAAACCTTTCCTGTTGGTGCTGTTTAGGACATTGATTATTGCGTGATGTTCTATTGCAAATTTGCAGTGATCAAAGCTGGTTTGGTTTTGAATGTCTTGCGCTAGGACATGTTAGTTCTTGAACATCGCCAGTCACATTTGTAGTCTTTTTGCTTTCACACTTTTTTTGTTTGGGATTTTTTTTATAAAAAGCAGAATTGGCTTCTATTGTCCAACTTTTTTTTGGTCAGGAATTCTAAACTACTAATTTGCTTCCAAGAGAATTTATAGTGATTGTTCAGTTACCTAGCTTGGGAACGGATAGATCTGTTCAACATGAGAAGAAATTTCAAATAACAGATGTATTTAATTGCTATTCAAAGCATAGCAAGGATCCTTTCCATTCTAGATCATTTTTGGGTGTTTGTTTTCTTGATTTTTTCTGATCTGTTTGCCCAGTGCTAAATTTGAAAATTGGCATATTAACAATTTTTCAGCTGGAACATTTAGTAAGAAAAGTTCTTGAGTAATATTCTGCTAAACCAATTGATTGCTCTTGGCAGATACATTGTTGGCCTAGCTGGCCCACCTGGTGCAGGCAAGTCCACAGTTGCCTCTGAAGTTGTTCGACGTGTTAATATGCTTTGGTCCCAGAAGCACGCAAAGGGTAGTGGAGCACTGCTTCCTACCGAGGAAATTGCTGCAATGCTTCCAATGGATGGTTTCCACCTTTATCGTGCTCAGCTCGATGCAATGGAGGTTTGTTATCTTTCGAGTGACCCATATCTAATTTCAGCTCTTCCTGAAATTGTTAACACACTTGTGCCTGTAGGATCCAAAAGAAGCACATGCAAGAAGAGGAGGTGTGTGATGTTCTCTGTTTAATCTGTTTCCTTTAAACTGTATTTAGGTAAATACTAACATCATAGTTATTGATTTTAGCACCTTGGACATTCGATCCAGCACTGTTTCTGAAATGTCTGCAGACCCTAAGAACAGAGGTATCTACCAACGTCCTGCAGTACGAGTTCTTGAGTACTGCATGCTATTTAATCTGATCCTATAAACATCTTGGTTCGTAGGGTTCAGTTTATGCTCCATCGTTTGATCATGGTGTTGGTGACCCAGTTGAGAACGACATATTTGTTAAGCCACAGTAAGTTAGCTTGGATTTGAATGCGTTGCTTTAGTCATAAAATCTTTTGGATCAACTTAATATTAGCATCCCCTAACATTGGATGTTAGGCAATAGCCATTGTTTATCACATGACCATATCAACTACTGCTAAGTTCCCAGTTCTTTTTATGAATTGTTATGTTAAGCTCCAATTTTCTTCCCCTGTTCCTGTGTATGCAAGTTGCAGCACAAAGACTTTTTCATGAGAACTTAATCTTGTTGCTGTTTTTTTTAAGAGAGAAGGTTACCCCCTCTTTATTCCAGAGAAACAAAGCACACAAAACGTCACAGTTCAGCACAACGTATTCTAGGCGCATCCGCCCACATTGTCTAAGTCCAAACTCTGGAAAACTCGAATCGCTACGTGATCTGAAAGTGAAGTTTCTATCGAAATGAGCCTCTCAGACACTGCTGCATCTTCCCAGTTGGAGTTCTGTACTGTTCCAGTTACATTTGAGCTTCCTATAACCTCTGCCTCCATCCTCCACATGATCCTCGCCGGTTCTTTTGCAATTTCTTCCATTTGCCTTACCACCAGTTCCAGCTTCTCCCATTCTTGCTATTTGTACAGAGGGCGCCACCCTATCAGCCTTGTTGGTTTTCGCCATCTTCATTATCTTCCTCACATCTTGCTATATGTACTCCCCTGAAAACAAAGTGCATTCCACATTTTCCAGATACTCCATAAGAGATCTGAAGAACAAACATTCTTAACAAAATCATTTTTACCACAAAGCCAGAGTTTATCTACTGATTCAAAACACTACTCCAGATTTGCACATCACCGCCAGCATCATCACTACCGGATTTGTGAGAACCGGCAGTGATGTACCTTCACTGCCGGTTATGAGCTTGAAAATGAAAAAAATGATTGGGGCTGGGCTAAAACCGGCAGTGAAGGACCACATCACTGCCGGTTTGTGGCTTGAACCGGCAGTGTTTTGGTGGGCACTCATCACTGCCGGTTTAAGCCAAGAGCCGACTGTGATTGGGCTCTATCACTGTCGGTTCTAGCCAAGAACCGACAGTGATAAGCCTACAGCATAAAAAGGCCGCAGTCGTCCTCTCCTTCCTTCTCTCTTCCATCCCGAGAACAGAGGTGCGCGTTTGGACCCTTCCATCCATTGTTGCGGCTGCTCTTCACCATGAAGCTAGTGCTTGGATTTTAAAGAATGGCTTGATCTTTTTGCTTTAAGGTTAGTAACAAACATCCACTCCTTTGATTTTGTTGCTTAATTAGTTTCGTTTTAATGGCTACATTGCTTAATTCTCATTCTAGTTCTTTCTCCACTCTAGAGAGCACTTTTCCAATTGGACATTTGTGCAAGGCTCAAATTATGGTGAATCCATCATTCAAAAGGTTGGTGTCTACGAACACATTTAAATTCCTAACTAATTATTCCATGGTGGTCAAGATCATCATTATTAGTATGTGATGCAATAATTAGTTCTTAGAAGTAGAGTAGAATAGTTGTTCTTCAATATTGTGTAATAATTGTTTTTTACTACGATTTTCAATTTACATGGCCAGGCCTACCAATTTCAATTTTCCAATAATTAGTGTACAATAATGTTTTCCAAAAATTGTACTTTCGAGCTACAATTGTTGTTCATGAAGCTCGATTTCTTATTAATTCTTTGTAATTACTGTCTCAATATTTTTTTGTGCAGAGATGGATCGAGAGTGGATGCATCTGTCCCGAACGGACAAGCGGTACATACATGGCGTCAGCCAGTTTATCACCGATGCCAAAGCCCATGCTGGGAATGCGAACCCTGTCTTCTGCCCATGCAAAGATTGCAAGAATCATAGGAACTTTTGTCAAATTGAGTCTATACGATCGCACTTGATTACCAGGAGTTCATGCCAAACTATACGATATGGACTATGCATGGTGAGATTGGTGTGAATGTTCTGCAGGAAAACGATGATGATGTGGACATGCCTAACGTAGCCATCCACGATGCTGACGAGGAACCCGGTGTCAACACAGAACCTATGGCCATAGTTAATAATGTGTTTAGGAACACACTAGCTGACGACACCGAGGATAACGATGGTATTTCTCAGCTGCTACGTAATATAGAGACCGGATGTCTTAGTGAAAGACAGCTAAGAAAGCTAGAGAAAATGAGACAAGATGGCAAAACACCATTGTATAGGAATTGTCCAATGAGCAAACTGGAAGCCGACATCATGCTGTTAGAGTTCAAATCGACAAACGGATTGAGCGATAAAGGCTTCGATTAGTTGTTAGGTATAATAAAGAAAATGCTCCCAAAAAAATGAGTTGCCAGAAAAGACATACTTGGCCAAGCAAATGATTTACCCCATCGGCCTCGAGGTTGAAAAAATCCACGCGTATTCCAATGATTGCATATTGTACCATGGAGAAAAATACAAAGACTTGGACAAGTGCTCCAAGTGTGAAGCTCCACGGTACAAGGAAGGGCCGTCAGATGAGGGTACCAAGACCAGAGGAAGTCCCGTAAAGGTCGTTTGGTATTTCCCTATAGCTCCCAGGGTGCATAGGCTGTTTGCATGTGCAAAGTCAGCCAAGCTGTTGCGCTGGCATGACGAAGAGCGTAAGAAAGATACAATGATGAGGCACCCCGCCGATGGGCATGACTGGAGGACTGTCAATACTATGTTCTATAAGGACATCGATAGAGAGATAAGGCACCTTTGGTTTGCTTTGAGCACAGATGGGATGAATCCTTTCGACCAGGTTAGAAGCAATCATAGTACCTGGCCAATGACGCTCTGTATATACAACCTTCCACCTTAGGTCTGTATGAAGCGGTCATACATCTAGATGCCACTACTGATCCATGGGCCAAGACAACCTGGGAATGACATCGATGTGTTTCTGGAACCAGTGATCGATGAACTAGTGGAGATGTTTGAAAAGGGTGTGCCAGATGTTTGGGACGAGTACAAAAAGGAACATGTCACGATCAAGGGAGTACTTATCGCTACAATCACCGACCTGCCAGGTCGAGGTTCGTTGTCCGGAGAGAAGACAAAAGGCTATACTGGATGTGTCGAGTGCTTGGACGACACCGATGCGGTAAATCTGCCAAATAACTCAAAGATAGTTTATATGGGACACCGTAGGTTCCTACCTAAGGATCACCCTTACCGCAAGAACAGAAAAGATTTCAACGGTACTATTGAGAAACGCTTAGCTCTAAAATATCGAGACGGGCCTGCGATACTTCGAGAACTCAACAAACTGGAGGTTGTCCTTGGGAAGGGGGACAATGCAGTAGCAGCGCCTAATGGGAGCGTTTGGCAGAAAAAATCAGTTTTCTGAAAACTACCTTACTGGCCATTTCTGAGTGTACGTCACTATCTTGATCCCATGCACATCACTAAAAACATATGCGCTAACACTCTTAACACCTTGATGGATACCGGGGGGACATTGAAGGATTCACTCGCCACACGCCTGGACATGCAACACATGGGAATTAGGAAGGAGCTGCATCCCGTGGAGCTAGAGAATGGCCAATTCAAACTTCCGGTTGCGTCCTGGACATTGAAGAAGGAAGAAAAGCGTGCACTTATTTTTTTCTTCAATGAATTCAAAGTCCCGACGGGCTACTGTGCGAACCCGAAGAGACTAGTGAACATGAGAGAACTCAAGTTCAACTATGGCCCTATGAAGGCCCATGACTGTCATGTCATTATGACTCAGCTGCTCCCTGTTGCCCTGCATGGTATCCTCCCCCCAAAGGTCCGCGCCCCAATCATAAAGCTTTGCTCGTTCTTCAACGCGATCTCAAAAAGGTCATTGATGTGTCCACTCTAGAGCAGCTGCAGCGGGACATAGCCGAAACTCTCGTTAGGCTTGAGATGCATTTCCCGCCAACTTACTTTGATATCTCATTGCATCTGCTCATTCATATTGTTGACCAAATTAGAGCCCTTGGCCCAATGTACCTGCATCAGATGTTCCTTTTCGAAAGATTGGTGAAAATTTTCAGGAGGTATGTTAGAAACAGATTCAGGCCAGAAGGGAGCATGGTTGAAAGATGGTCAACGGAGGAGGCCATTGAGTTCTGCACATATTATCTGGACATCAAAAGGGTCGGAGTTCTAGAATCTCTTCACGAGGGAAGACTACGTGGCAAAGGAACGATCGGGGAGAAATCTGTTACAATAGACAACCCTGTTTATTTTAGATAGGCATAGTTCGCTGTTCTCCAGCAAGCCGAGGGTGTGATGCCATACATTGACGAGCACAGGCAATCGCTGCAAACTCTGTATCCGAGCAGGTCACAGGCTTGGCTAGATAAAAAACATAAGGAGGAATTTGTCAGCTGGTTGCGACGTCGCTTGCTTGGAATAAAGTTGGGTAATCAACTAGATGCCTTAGCCAAGGGGCCTTCGAGTACATATCTTAAGTACCAAGGGTATGAGATCAATGGATTCACATTTTACATAAAAAAAGCAAGATGAAAAGAGCACATACCAAAATTGTGGTGTTCGTTTTGATGCTCACGACAAAAACGGCAACGTGCAGGCGACATACTATGGTTTCATAGAGGATATATGGGAGCTAGCCTATAGTCCGTTGAAGGCAGCTCTTTTTTGCTGTAGTGGGTCCGGCTCGAGGAAATCAACACTGACAGCGAAGGGTTCACTACCGTTGATCTCACTAAGACCGCATACAGAGACGACCCCTTCGTCCTTGCAAGATGTTATGCAAGTCTTCTATGCAAGGGACAACAAGACAAAAGAAGGCTAAAAGTAGTCCTAGAAGGGAAAAGGAAGATTGTCGGTGTCGATGGAGTGACGGATGAAGAAGACTACAGGGGCTATCAGGAAATGCATCCATTCGGGACGAACGTACCCCTACCTATCCTTCAAGAGGATGATGAACATGTTTACATACGAATTGATCACAATGAGGCCCTCATTGTTGATACACCTAAAGATAGTTAGATTATTGTTAACTATGTAATCATTATGC